AAGAGAAAGGGCTGTACAACAAAAACAACTGCCCTTGCCATACTACAAACTATTTTAAGGTACACAAAAAAGGGGGAATATGTAGCAGACCATATATCCTCACGGGAAGGAGAAGTGAGAGTTAAGCTCGGAACACTCTGTGAATATAAGAAACACCTGTTATACAACATCTCCATTAATATAACACCTTGGTGATAAGGGCATCGGAAAGGATTCAGCTCTCCTTAATACAAGAGTACATGAGACAAGAACATTCTCCTTAACACAAGAGTACATGAGACAAGAACATCAGTGATTGGTAGTCTCTACACCTGTGGTGCAAGTAGCCATGGGATCAGGTCTATAAGAAGCCGCAGGAGAAGTCAGTTGAGGAGCACTTATTCTTTCATGGATTCGCTCAGACTCTTTTGCTTCTCCAGCTTGCAGGGCCTCTGCCTAAGGCCCTTCTGAGAAGACTATTAAGATTCACTCTCTTAGTAAGACCATTTCTCTCCCTCTCCCTTCTGCTAAGGCAAATAGCGCTCAGGCACCTGAGGGTAATTGTTCCAGAGCAAGGTAGTTCAGCAGTCCATGTCAGAATAATAGATAAGCCTGGGCCAGAGACCTGGCCAGTCCCTGGCCCCAACAAATGGCAACAAGGATGGGATAGTGAACAGCCACGGGCAATTCGTTGCTTTTATTAGAGCTATTGATGATGAATATAATGTCACTGAAGAAATGTTTCTTTATTGCCATTAAAAGACACAACTAAATTTGCCCCATATACCAAGAGTGGTAGGTTCAAACCCAGCCCCAGCCAAATTGCAACCAAAAAATCTCTGGGTGTTGTGGTGGGTGCCTGTAGTCCTAGCTACTCGGGAGGCAGAGGCAAGAGAATTGCCTAATCCCAGGAGTTAGAGGTTGCTGTGAGCTATGTGACGCCATGGCACTCTACCGAGGGTGATAAAGTATCTGTCTCTACAAAAAAGGAAAGAAAGAGACACAACTAAATTAAGAGGTTTATAAAAGCAGTAAAAAATACGATGAAGTGATTTTCTTTGACCATTGTAAACATATCTGGTATAGTTACTGATGGTGCCCCACCATGGTAGGTAAAACAGAGGAACTTGTAAAATTAATAGAAGGTGATACAGTTGCCACACAAAGCTCATATTTGATGAAATATCAGTACATCAAGAAAATTTATTCATGAAAACTTTAAAAATGGATAGCATCATGCAAATTGTCATCAAGACTGTGCATTTCATGAGGGTCATGGGATTAAATCATCACCAATTCTTGGAATTCCTTAAAATTATTGATGCTGACAATGGCAACATAATTTATTTCTTGGAAGTAAGATGGCTAAGTCAAGGCCAAATATTGAAAAGATGGTATGATTTGCAACATGTTATCAAGTCATTTATGATATCAAAAACCAAATTTGTGCCAAAACTTGAAGATGAAAACTGGCTTACAGATTTAGCATTTTTAGTAAATATAGCCACTCATTTAAATGAGTTAAGCATGTGCCTTAAAAGTGAAAACCAGCTTATCAATACAATGTTTCAAACCATAATAGCATTCCAAGTGAAATTGAAGTTATGGCAAGCCCAAATTAAGGCAAACAATTTTAATGCATTTTGGTATGTTGGCTAAACACAGTCAACTGCATAGTGAAAAGTATGCAGCCTTGCTTTTCAATTCCATACAAAAATTTGAAAACAGATTTCAAGATTTCCAGGAAAATTATCAATATTTTGGTGCATTTGTTACTCCATTTTCAGTTAACATAAATATATTACCTGACAATTTTCAGATGAAATGCATAGAGCTGGAATCTGACATTCAACTTAAAGAAAAATTTCATCATGTCTCTTTACTGGACTTGTATAGGTCCTGTCTTCCCAGAGACAAATATCCCTTGCTTCACAATTATGCCTCTTCATGTCATTGCTTTTTGGCAACACCTACATTTGTGAGGAACTATTTTCAAGAATGAAGCACGTTAAGGGTAAAATTAGAACCAAAACATCTGATGAGCACATTGAAAACCCACTAAGAATCACAACTACTTCCATTGAACCAGGTACTAATGCATTTGTTTCTCAAATATGTCAAATATCCCACTAGTTTTATCTTGCCCACTTTTCATTTACTTTAAGAATAAAAATATTTTTTTAAACCCAGAGACATTTTATTGCTTAGTTATGTACATTTCCTATATTAGTGATCACAAACTTGGGACCTGTGCAATTTTAAAAGACTCTCTGAATAGGTTGCTACATAATTAGGATTATTATGTGAAGATTTTTTTGCTTATCTTTGGTGGCACATATCATGAAAATTATACACAGAACTTTATTTTTGCTCATCAGCTTTGGTTAGTGTTTGTATTTTATGTGTGGCCCAGAGAAGCCAAAAAGTTAGACACCTCTGGTATAGTAAGCTGGGAGGAATTCCTTTATTCATTGTTCTCTCCATGACCCCTGGCTCCACTCCTGCAAAGTTTTTCCCCATTCTTTATCTTCCCTGGCCAAATCTGAAATTATCATTGGGGAGTATGCCATCCTGGGAGGCTGCAGTTTTCACAACATGCTTCCACCCAGAGTTGTTTTAATTCTTCCCAAATAATAACAGGCTTATTAAGACCAGGCTCATGCTTACCTTAGAAATAACATTCCAACCAAATGCGGTGGCTCATGCCTGTAATGCTTGTACTCTGGAAGGCTGAGGCTAGTGGATAGCTTGAACTTAGGAGTTGGAGACCACCCTGAGCAAGAGTGAGACCCCATCTCTACTAAAAACAGAAAAACTAGCCAGGTGTTGTAGCAGGTGACTGTAGTCCCACCTACTTGGGAGACTGAGGCAAGAGGATCACTTGAACCCAAGAGTTTGAGGTTGCTGTGAGCTGTGATGGCACAGCACTCTACCCAGGGCAACAATGTGAGACTCTGTCCCCCCACCAAAAAAATGGAAATACCATTCCTTCAAAACCTATCAGACTTCCTCCCTGTTTATACATGGAACCAATAGGTCTATGCACCAGTGACCCCTCTCCCAATTCTTTCTTAAACATAGTTCACAAATTTGTCTTATTTCTTTTACTTCCTTGCCCTTTCCATTCCCTTCTCTCTCAACATAAAGGCAAGAAAGTAGAGTCTTCTGGAATACTAGTCATGGGTATCACCTTTAATCAGAAGTTTGCTTCAAAGCTGAGTCACTATTCATTTGAAAAGAATTATTGAGGTGGCGCCTATGGCTCAAAAGAGTAGGGCACTGGCCCCATATGCCAGAGGTAGAGGGTTCAAACCCAGCCCCAGCCAAAAACTGCAAAAAATAAAAGAAAAAAGAAAAGAATTATTGGTGTTGGGCACAGTGGCTCATACCTATAATCCTAGCACTCTGGGAGGCTGAGGCAAGAAGATTGCCTGAGCTCAGGAGTTCAAGACCATCTTGAGTAAGAGAAAGATCCTGAGACCCTCATCTCTACTAAAAATAGAAAAATTAGCCATGGCTCAGTGCTTATAGCCAGCGGTTATGGCACCACCCACTTATACCAAAGCTGGTGGGTTCAAAACCGGCCTGGGCCAGCTAAACAATGACAACTGCAACAGAAAATAGCCAGGCATTGTGGCAGGCACCTGTAGTCCCAGCTACTTGGGAGGCTGAGGCAAGAGAATCCCTTAAGCCCAAGAGTTTGAGATTGCTGTGAGCTGTGATGCCACAACACTCTACCAAGGGTAACATAATGAGACTCTGTCAAAAAATAAAAATAAAAATAGAAAATAAAGCCAGATAAAAGAAGAAGAAGAAGAAAAATTAGCCAGTGTTGTTGAGGGCGCCTGTAATCCCAGCTAGTTGGAAGGCTAAAACAGGAGGAGCTTGAATCCAGCAGTTTGCATTTGCTTGAACTATGCTGACACCATGTGCTCTAGACTGGACAACAGAGTGAAACTGTCTTTGCAAGAAAAGAATTATTAGGCCTTCTTTGCTTAAAGTCTCCATCTTATCTCTTCCTTTTTTGGTGTTTAGAGGTCTTAGTTTGCCCAAAATTTCTTACATTATTTTTTTTAAGAGATGGAGTCTTGCAGTGTTTCCTATGCTAGAATGCAGTAGCATGATTGTGTCTTAAAGCAACCTCAAATTCTTAGGCTCAAGTGATCCTCCTACTTCAACCTCCTGAGTAGCTGGGGGCACAGGTATGTGCCACTATGCCCAGCTAAATTTTTAAATTTCTTTTTTAGAGATGGGTTCATTATGTTGCCCAGTCTGGTCTCAAACTTTTACAGTGCTCTAAGTTTCTATACTTTCATTCTTTTTCATTTATGCTTACAAATTGGCAAATTATTTCCCTAGTTCAACTCTTTCTTTCGGTATCTAATCAAAGGTTGCCAACAGAAGCCAACACACAGCAATATTCTGATTCTAACCACTTCCCTTAAAGCTGCAGGTTCAGTAGGCACATGGCCTACCTCTCAGTTTTATCAAATCCCTTCTTATTAACAAGATTGTAGACTTTCCAATCTTTTATATCAGTTTTCTTACCACCCTCTCCCAACTCCTAAGCTAATGGCACACATTTTAGACTTTTGTTAAAGCATGACTTCTCTTCAACAATAGAGTAAGATTAAAAGCTTGAGTTCTAGAATTGGTTCCAAACCTGTTTCTTCTGCTCAGTATCTAAGTGATTTAAAGCAAAATGCTTTTTTACTTTCAAAATCAAGTTCTTCATCTATTATTAAAAGGGGATTATTATAAATATTAAATAATATATATAAAGTACTTAACACAGTTCAAGTATTTAATCAGTATTTAATATGCTTTAGTTACCATTATCCCCTTCACCATCCCAAGGATGGCTCCCACATGGCCGTCTTTCTGTCCTGTGTACTATGGCCTAGAGCCTGTGGACTGCAGGGCCTCCCTGCCTCTTAGGAGACAGAGATAAGGCTCCATAAGGTAGAACTGAAGCAGCACAGACATTGAATAAAATGTTCATTTAATTTTTTTTTTTTTAGATTTTCCTTTTTTTAGGCATCATGTGTTTTATCCTAGCAATTGGACATTGGATTTGGGAAAGCCAGAAAGGCTACTACTTCCAGATTTTTCTGCCATGGGAAAAATATGTCTCCTCATCAGTTATCTCTGGCACCCTCATCTTCTGGTCCTATTTCATTATTCTCAACACCATGGTGCCCATTTCCCTCTACGTCAGGTAGGCTTCTTTGATCACTTTGGGTTATGGGGGAAGGAGCTGACTTAATACTTACTGTTTAATTCTCCTACTAGTGTGAACTTTTAGAAAGCATCTACTGTGTGCACTTTGACCCTTTACTTTTTACAGTGCCTGGTGTGTAAAACACTCTGAGAAATATCTAGAGATTGCATAAATGCCTTCCATATACAGAACACTGTGTTATATACTGTGTGGTTTATACAAAAGGAAAAGAATTTCTGCCCTCAATTTATAATGTAAGTGATTGAATGAGACAAATACATGAAACCACTAGAAAAAATGCACACAAATGTGGTGATGCCAAGTATAGCCAGGCTGCCTGTAGTTTCCCAAAGAAATAAATTCCAGACACTCACTCCTAAGTCAGTAGTCAGAACTCAGAATGCATTTCAATGCAGAAACAGTGTGGCAAATAGCAATAGGTGTGATTGTGACCTAAGTTCAATTCCTAAGTGTTGGAGAAGAGAGGTGGCACCCATAGCTCAGTGGGTAGGGTGCTGGCCACATACTCTAAGACTGATGGGTTTGAACCCAGCCTGGGCCAGCTAAACAACAATGACAACTGCAACCAAAAAAAAAAAAAAAGAAGAAAGAAAGAAAGAAAAAAAGAAATAGCCAGGCATTGTGACGAGCAGCTGTAGTCCTAGTTACTTGGGAGGCTGAGATAAGCAAATCACTTAAGCCCAAGAGTTTGAGGTTGCTGTGAGCTGTGACACCACAATACTCTACCGAGGGTGACATAGTGAAACTGTCTTTAAAAAAGAGAGAGAGAGAGAAGAGAAAGAGCATTTCTTCCCCCTTTTCCTAGACACCTTGGCCAAAAATCTGAGATAGATGAAATGAGTGTTTATCATACTCTGATCTTCCTTTTCTGGGTTCTGCATTTCCTTAAACATACATACATCTAAACACATTGTAATTTCCTCCTTTCCAGATTTTCTAAACCCCATACTGTGGCTTTTTGGTAACCCCCCAAAACATCTTACCTAACTAGATTACCTTATTTGATCAATATTTATTAAGTACCTACTATGTGCCTAGCACTATACCAGGTGCTATGGATAGCAACATGACCAATAAGACAGCCCTTTCTCTACAGAAGCTTACAGTATGGCTATATAAATAGATAAATAATTATGGTACAATATGAAAAATCATACAATAGAGATATGTATCAGTGTTATAGAAGCCTTGAGAAGAAATGGTTTTGTTCTGCCTCAAGGTTTACAGAAAAGGAACTATTTCAAAAAGGGTAGAATTCACCAAATAGGACATGGGGAAAGAATATTGCAAGCAGAAAGTTCAGCATGTACAAAAGTATGGCAGGGGGGTTATTATTATTGTTGGGGATTCATTGAGGGCATAAAGAACCTGGTTACAATGATTGCATTTGTTAGGTAAAGTTCCCCTTATAATTGTGTCCCACCCACAAAAGGTATGTCACACACTATGACCCCTCACCCCCGCCTTCTTCCCTCTCTTTGATCTCTCCTTCCCTCACTCTCCACCCTGTACTAGGTCATCAATTGTCCTCATATTAGAATTGAGTACACTGGATTCTTGCATCTCCATTCTTGTAATACCTTACTAAGAATAATGTGTTCCACTTCCATCCAGGTTAATACAAAAGATGTAAAGTCTCCATTTTTTTTGATGGCTGAATAGTATTCCATGGTATGTATGTATATATATACCACAGCTTGTTAATACATACCTGGGTTGGTGGGCATTTATGGTGTTTCCACATTTGGGCAATTGTAAATTCAGCTGTGATAAATAGTCTAGTGCAAGTGTCCTTATGGTAAAAGGATTTTTTTCTTCTGGGTACATGCCCAGTAATGGGATTGCAGGATCAAATGGGAGGTCTAGTTTGAGTTCTTTGAGGATTCTCCATAATTCCTTCTACAAAGGTTGTATTAGTTTGCAGTTCTGTCAGCAGGGTAAAAGTGTTCCTTTCTCTCCACATCCACTCCAGCATCTGCAGTTTTGAGATTTTGTGATGTGGGCCATTCTCACTGGGGTTAGATGATAACCCAGGGTGGTTGTGATTCTCATTTCTCTGGTAATTAGGGACGATGAGCATTTTTCATGTTTGTTAGCCATGTGTCTGTCTTCTTTAGAGAAGGTTCTATTTATCTCTCTTGCCCATTGATATAAGGGATAGTTGACTTTTTCATGTGGATTAATATGAGTTTTCTGTAGATCCTATTTATCAAACTTTTATCTGATTTACAATATGTGAATATCCTTTCCTGTTGTGTAGGTTGTCTATTTGCTTTGGTTGTTGTCTCCTTAGCTGTACAGAAGTTTTCCAGTTTAATTAAGTCGCATTTGTTTATTTTTGTTATTGTTGCAGTTGCCACAGAAGTCTTCTTCATAAAGTCTTTCCCCAGACTGATATCTTCAAGTGTTTTTCCTTTACTTTCTTTGAGAATTTTTATTGTTTCATGCCATAAATTTAAATTCAAGATCTTTTATTGATCTTGAATCTCTTTTTGTGAGCAATCCCCTTCACAGTAGCTTCAAAGAAAA